TATAAAAATCAGTTCGTGTTCTTGCGAAAAGGAAACTGTTGATTCGCCGTTAAATACCTCTCGTTTAATTTTTTAAAAATTTCAAATGTTTCGATTCACGATTCTGAAGTTTTATAATTTTTATAAGCGGCCGCTGTAATTTCCAAAACTTTAAGAAAGAGAAAGAGAGAGAGAAAAATAATATTATTATTCTCTATTCGTGAGGATTGATCTACAAATGATTATGGTTGACTGTAAGGTTTCGATTCCAAAAACCAGTTCGAATTCTTGCAAAGAAGATTTGCGATGATAGCGATCATGGTTTATTAAATACCTCTCGTTCGAAACTTTGTTAAAATTTCAAATATTTTAATTCATGATTCTGAAGTTTTACAATTTTTATAAACGGCCGCTGTTTTAAGCTAATTTTAGAAGACTTTAAAAAAGAGAGACAGAGAGAAAAATAATATTATTATTCTCTATTCGTGAGGATTGATCTACAAATGATTATGATTGACGAACTTAATCTTTCGATTCCAAAAACCAGTTCAAGTTCTTGCAAAGATTTGCCATGATAGCGAAACTTTATAAAAATTTCAAAAGTTTCAATTTACGATTCTGAAGTTTTACAATTTTTATAATCTGCCGCTATAATTTTCAAGAAAGAGAAAGAAGAAAAAAAAGTAATATTGTTATTCTCTATGCGTTGATCTACAAATGATTATGGTTGATGAACTGTTAATCGTTCGATTCCATATTTTCCAATTAACGTCACCGCAACACACACAAACACAGGTCGGCGGAAATAAAGTCGGTTAGTTCGATTATCGTGGATCCACAGGCTGATCACGCGACAATTTATGAAATTGATGAACCGTCCTAGATCGGCCGCATGAACGTCGACCGACCGCAAAACCGAGACCGATTATACGCGCAATCAAGTCGATTTATTTATTTTGAAAACGCGTTTGTCCTCGGCGAATTGCTAGCTTGCCCGTAAAATTGACAATTCTCGCGATTAGATGGGGGAAACACACAATGTGTGCGACTGTGAAACGATCGACTGACCACCGATACTGTGGCGAAGTTCGAAATGATCGATTGGAATCAACCCTCTCCTTTGTGAAATTGATAATAGATTTCAATAAGATGGAATAAATAACGGGTCCTAACGCGAACAATATATAAAAAAATACGTATACACGAATACAGAAGATACCATGATGATTGATTTCGCATTGTGACGGTCGTTTTTTATCGACACGAAAGTGAATGTAACGTTTTCGTTACAAAAAAAAAAAAAATGGAAATTTGGTTCTTTTTTTTTTTAAATATTGCGAGCATAACAAAATGCGACACTGCGTTGATTACAAAAAGTGAAAATCAACTTTGTTCTACGAAAAACACTGCGAGCACGAGAAAATTGAAACATGCGATATTGTATCGTTCATATATAAAAAAAAAAAAAGAGAGTGAGAGAAAGAGAAAAAATATCGAAACTTTCTCCTCTTTCACTTTTTCCATACACGGTACCGTTCATGAATAAAAAAAACGCTGACTAATAATTACGCGAAAACTCTGTGTATCAAAGTAATGAACGTCGGTAGGGATATTATTCATTGGATCATTAAGATAATGGCCCTGGTGTTCTTTTGTCACGATTCTTGAATTTCTCGTGAAATTCTTACTACCTCCGGCCAGCGATGTAATGCGTTTCATTATGAAAAGTAGTTGAAAAACGATATGACATTTTTAGATTACGAGACAATACTTTACTTTAAAACTCGTTTCGTTTTCCAACTTCTCAACTATAATATAATTTAAAAAAAAAAAAAAAAAAAAAAAAAAAAAAAAAAAAAAAAA